TCCTAACCGAGTCGTTGAGTCCATCCGATTGTCAGATGTGAAGGCCTATTGGGTGCGACTATATTTTTTACGTGTATACTGGTCAGAAGGTCGCAATCTGGTCGTAACGGCTCGCAAGGACGCGGTGTCCAGAGTGGGGCAATACGCCACTCTGACCACCATCCCGACAATTTTTGAGCCTGGTGGGCAAACTTCGGTGTCGGGAAACTGTGGGAACGCCATCTGACCAGCCCGATCACCTGTGCGAATGACGTAAAGGCAGCGAACAGTACTCCGAGACCCCCCACTCTGAGCGTACCACTCACGAAGCTGCTGGGACGTAAGGGTCTCGCGCGGACGCCGCTGCAGCTGCATCTGGCCACCGCCAGAAACTCCTGACTGAACAGCTCCACTGCGACTGCCACGACGGCCGCCGCCACTACTCCAACTAGCGTGCCACTCACGAAGCTGCTGGGGCGTGAGGGACTCGCGCGGACGTCGCTGGAGCTGCATTTGGCCACCGCCAGAAACTCCCCACCGAACAGCTCCACCGAGACTGCCACTACGGCCACCGCCACCACTCCCACTGCTGCTACCACCGCCGCCACCACTCCCACCGCTACCACGAAGAGACGCCCCACGGAGGCGTGGAACAAACACAGCAGTACGCAGGGAAGGCAGGGCGGCGAGCAGGCACTAGGGTAGGTCGTGGCGGCGCACGGTCAGGGAAGGGCGATGCGCGGCCAGAGCAGGGCGGCGCGCTGCAAGTAGGGCGGCGCGCGGGCAGGGGAGGGCGCGCGGGCAGGCAGGGGCAGCTCGCGGGCTGCAGAGGGCGGCGAGCGGGCTGCCAAGGCGAACGCGACGGGCAGGGGCAGGGCAGAGCGCGGGCAGCAGGGCGACACGCGGGCCGCAGAGGGCGGCGCGCGGGCAGGCAGGGGCGGCACGCGGGCAGGCAGGGGCGGCACTAGGGTAGGTCGTGGCGGCGCACGGTCAGGGAAGGGCGATGCGCGGCCAGAGCAGGGCGGCGCGCTGCAAGTAGGGCGGCGCGCGGGCAGGGGAGGGCGCGCGGGCAGGCAGGGGCAGCTCGCGGGCTGCAGAGGGCGGCGAGCGGGCTGCCAAGGCGAACGCGACGGGCAGGGGCAGGGCAGAGCGCGGGCAGCAGGGCGACGCGCGGGCCGCAGAGGGCGGCGCGCGGGCAGGCAGGGGCGACGCGACGGGCGACGGGACGGCAGCCCGCACGGGCGACGCGACGGGCGACGGGCAGAGACAGGGCGGACGGGCGACGCGACGGGCTGGGGCAGCCCTCACGGGCGACGCGACTGGCAGAGGCAGGGCGGACGGGCGACGCGACGGGCTGGGGCAGCCCGCACGGGCGACGCGACGGGCAGAGGCAGGGCGGAACGGCGACGCGACGGGCTGGGGCAGCCCGCACGGGCGACGCGACGGGCAGAGGCAGGGCGGATGGGTGACGCGACGGGCTGGGGCAGCCCGCACGAGCGACGCAACGGGCAGCAGGGGCGCCCGGGCGGCGCGACACGACTGGCAGCAGGGGCGCACGGCGCAACGGGCAGCAGGGGCACGCGACACGACGGGCAGCAGGGGCGCACGGCGCGACGGGCAGCAGGGGCGCGCGACGCGACGGGCAGCAGGGGCGCGCGACGCGACGGGCAGGGCGTGCGCAGGGCGGCGCGACGCGGAGCAGGGCAGGGCGTGCGCAGGCAGCGCGACGCAGGGCAGGGCGTGCGCGGGCAGCGCGACGCAGGGCAGGGCGTGCGCGGGGCGGCGCAACGCAGGGCAGGGCAGAGCGCGCGCTAGGTAGCGCAGCGCAGGGCAGGGCAAGGCAGCGCGGCAGCCAGCAGGGCGGCGCGCGGGCAGGGTAACGCGACTGGTGGGGCAGCGCGACGAACACGATAGGGCGCTACGGGCAGGGTAACGCGCTACGGGCAGGGAACGATTCGGTGGGCCCAAAAAATACGGTCCTAGGTCAGGACCTGCTCTGAAACCATGTCAGAATAATGAACGAGAATGGATGAACTAGAAACAAGGTGGGTACAAGTACTTTCCCTAATTGGGTTGTGTCCCATATGGGCTACCCCACTATTGCCTACACAATATGCAGCATATAAGTTTGACACACTCAAAACGAGAGTTGCACTTGGGTGGTAGGAAGAAACAAAAACGACGAGGGTTATTTACAAGTTGGGCGGAAGGAACCAACCAAAACACAAACAAGTGGCACGATACAATTGGTCCGACCAATTGTAATTGCAACTTGTGTGCATTGACGGAAGGGTAAGACGGAAAAGGACGTAACTCCTTTTCCGAAATTCCACCGTCAATTTTGCAATGGGGTGGGTTACGATATTGCACGCAGCTCGGTTACAAATGCGGTTCGACTATAGGGGGTTTCTTGAATTCTATGTTATAGAGTATAAAAACTCTCTCGTCATTGTGAATTGTATCCTCTCTGGAATTGTGTACCCAGCCCCATATAATCGACGTTTTCGTTCTCGTTACTTGGCCGTTCTTGGCGTTCTTTGTTGCTACGGATTTGTCACTCAGAGACCTATCCAGAAATAGCTCACACAAATAGTTTAATAAAGAATTGAGTTCACGACGGCGTTTCAAAGCTGACGGTTTTCCTACATGGTAATCCGAAGAATGTAACCCGTTCACCACCCTTGGGGGCCTTGTCTCGCATGCGATTGGCCGAGTCCTCCCACCTGCTCCAACCAACGCCCAAATCCATCCGCATTAGTAGCATTTCCTCATTGACGCCACGCGTATGCAATGCAGGAAAAAAGAATCGCCTTTGAGGAAAATTGCTTAACCACCTAGTGAAGCGTTCATGAGTTTCGGTTCACCTCTATTCAGCACATTATCCTCGTTATATGCTCACCAGAATTCTGTCGGATCCTGATCGGCGTAAATGTATCTATCCAGTCGCTTCTCGCGACAGTTCCTCGCAACTTCGTAACCACTTTGCGGGAAAGCGGAGGGAGGTGACGCAGGGCCTCTGGGGAGGAACGACGGCCATAATGGTTGATGTGAAAATTGCGACGGCTGCGACGACTGAAGCTGCTCTCTGCTCAAGTGGAAGCGCGTGAGCCAGCGACTAATGAGCGACCTGTGCGGGCGAACCATGGCAGATGACGACGATTAGCGGACAGACGTTTCCCATGCCAGGGCTTCATTCGGGTGGCGTTAATTTCGGGAAACCAATCACCTGGGATACTTCCACGATGACTTAGGGCGCGGAAAATCACGCGACTTTCCAATTCGTCCAGGTGGCCGTCGCAAAAGTAACCAGATAGCGAACGTCGTCGACAGTTGTGCGACCTTCACTAAATTCGGCCATGTAATTTGTATTTTGGTGGCCGAAAATACGTCGACGCATGAACGACTTCAAAACGGCCCCCATGTCGACCATGCTGGCTACAGTGAAATGGCGACTTTGCATACACGGTTACATTGAACCGACGACGTCGCGTGTTTGTATGCAACGCCGTCGATACAAGTCGTCAAAAAAAAAAAAAAAAAAAAAAACGGGATCTTCCACGTCTATTACAACAGCCAGCAAAACATGGCAAATTTGAAGGCCACCCCCAAATGGCCGAAATTGTGACGACCTGGCTACGACCATTGTGTCGACGTTCGCGAAGGAAATAGTCGACCAAATGACCGACATGAAACGGCCAAACCCAGTTTGGCGTGATTTTCCGCGCCCTTAGGCGTCACACTTACATTCACGGGAGGTTGGGACCATTTCGATAACCTAGGCGACAAAATGGTGCTGCGCCCTAATGGCTGGTCATACTTATCTGTTGTTGGTTGATTTTAAGAGGTTCATCGTGGTGCGCAATGGTCTGAAGTGGTGACATCCTCCAGACAATTGACCGAATTTACCGCGTCAAACGAACCGTAGACCCGCTTTAGGTTTCTGTTTGTGTATATCGAAATGGGTGCTTCGATTGCGGAATAACAATCAATAACGGGGTGCGTGACAGAGAAGAAGAACCCTACACCACTGTTCATAACACCAGCCGTCTCTGCTGTGAATCAGTGACCCCCGCTATGCTCCTTCAGCAATGCACTGGCAAAACCCACCAGACCTGGTTCGTGGATTTACCCACCAAGAGTATCAGGACCCGTGAGATAAAGTTACCTGTAAAAAACTAATACCGTATAATCGGAATATCCTTGAAGCCGGTATAGGTACTCCAGCAGGCTCAACCGGCATGTGAAGAGCAAACTGAAGAGAATGAATGGAGTATGGATACAATATTTTCAACGTCGGGAGTACGAATGGCAAGTACAACGGCGTGGCATATCTCATCATATCCAACGTTGTTGGCAAGAATGGTTGCCCGGCTGACAGGGTGAGAACGGCAGCTTGTTTGGGGCTAGAACAGCTTCGGTTGTCAACACAAAAGGAGCTTTTCTTTGTGGAATAGCAAAATCAGCTTCAATCCACAATGCTAGAAACCCCACCTGCAAATGACACGCGCAGTGTATCAATATATATGTGTAAGTAGTAGCATAGTTGTTCTATCCTTCTCTCTCTCAACAGTCTCCTTCACGCAGAAAAACCACAAGAAAATCAATCATGCTGGGTAACGAATGCAGCATCCACTCCGCACAAAAAAAAAGTTGGAACAGTCACCTTTGGAACACTGCAGTCACCTTGCCAAGCGCTTTTTCGGAAGTCGAAAGAAACAAACACACACACACACAGACGCACACACAAAAACAATTTTTGTTATAGTCACCTTAGGAACGTCGGAGATAGTAGAGCTGAAGTGCCACAGGCCATCGTCGGGGTGGTGCTTGGGCGGCGACACGGTGTGCAGGAAGAATGGCGTGGCCTGCACACACAGGTCGAACTTGCCTGCGTACGTGCCCGGCACCGTTGGCATGGGTGCCGTGCTGCCACAGCAGGGGGAGGGGGGTGGGGGTGGTGAGTGGGTGGGGTTGGGGGTGGGGGGGTGGAGGGGTGGGGAGGTTGGGTCAAGGGAGATGGGTCAGCAGGTGCAACAGAGGAAGAATGGCGTGGTCTGCACACACAGGTCGAACTTGCCTCCATACGTGATGGCACCGTTGGCATTGGCGCCGAGCTGAGGAAGAGGGGGGTTGGGGTGGTGAGAGAGGGCGCGGGGGATGAAGGGAGAGAGGTCAGCAGGTGCGGGGGAAAAGGGACATGGCGTGCACGCACAGGTCAAACTTGCATGCATACGTGCCCGGTACCGTTGGCATGATGCTGCCAGCAAAGGGAGGGAGGAGGAGAGGGTGAGATGGGGAACGCGGTGTTGAGAGGGTTGGGGGGATGAAGGGAGAGAGGGAAGCAGGCGCAGAGGAAAAGAGGGGTTGGGCTGCACGAACAGGACATACGCCATACCACTCTACACCGCTTTGCATCACTCACCACCCCTTGGCACCATTCACCAACCCTTTGCACCACTCACCATCCCTTGGAGCCTCGCTGCAGCACGAAGCGGAAGTCTCGCCGCTCACTGGCTGTGCGGTGGGGGAAGGGGGACGAGGGGAAGAGGGGAAGGGGGGAGGGGGAAGGGGGAAGAGGGGAAGAGGGGAAGAGGGGAAGAGGGGAAGAGGGGAAGAGGGGAAGGGGGAAGAGGGGAAGAGGGGAAGGGGGAAGGGGGAAGAGGGGAAGAGGGAAGGGGGAAGGTGGGAGGGGGAAGAGGGGAAGGGGGAAAAGGAAAGGTGGGAGGGGGAAGAGGGGAAGGGGGAAGGGGAAAGGTGGGAGGGGGAAGAGTTGAAGGGGGGAATGGGGAAAGGGGGAAAGGGAAAAGGAGACAGGGGGAAAGGGGAAAGGGGACAGGAGATGGTGTGCGAGTTTTGGGTTTTTGAAGGTGAAGAAGAGGGGTTGAATGTAGAGGAATAAAGCCCAAAGGTATAACGTACAACCTTACGTGCGATCTCACGTAACGTGTGATCCCATAAAACGTACAGGAGGACCAAGAGGTTGAATGGCAGCAGCCGTACAATCACCCATCTTCGCTATCGCTTCTTCCCCTCCTACCTCATCCCCTCCCAATTCCCCTTCCCCCTCCCCCTCCCCCTCCCCCTCCCCCCCACACCCCCTTCTGCTTCCTCTCAAACTGCCCCTTCCCCTCCACCTCCCTTGTTCCCAAACTCCTCCCCCTCGCCCTCCCCCGCTTCCCTCCTCCACTTCCTGCCCTCTCTACTCCCCCTCCCCCTCACCATGCTCTAACCGCCAGTGGCTTCCTGTCTGACGTGGCAAGAATGGTGAACGTGGACCAATCAAACCGCCACCTCAGCCGAGGCCAGTCGACAGCTGGCAGCTCAGGAACGCAGACCCAGGGATGCGTTGGCTGCTCCTGATTGGTCAGCGCGTCTCCCTCTGTCCCTTCCCTTCCCTCTCCTCCTGCCTGAGCCTCTGCCGCTTTCCGAGGCTCCCCCTCCTCGTCCCCCATTTTTCTTTCCTCCCGGACAAACAAGCCCGTGCCCTCTACTCTGTCAAAGTGCTTGGGGCGAGGGGGGGAGTAGCTGCAGGCGTTGGAGGGGCGGGTCCAGGTGAGGGAGGGGCGGGAGGAAGCGGGGAGAGGGGCGCAGGAGGAGTTGACGTGGAGGAGAGAGGCGAGGAAGGAGAGCGTTGCTTGGTTGGCCTGTAGACGGACGCAGGGGGGTTGAAGAGGGGGTGGGAAAGAGGGGGTTGGAGAGAGGGGTATGGAGAGAGGGGTAGAACAGAGGGGGTTCGAGAGAGGGGTTGAAGAGAGGGGGTTGGAAAGAGGGGGTTGGAGAGAGGGGTTGAAGAGAGGGGGTTGGAGAGAGGGGGTTGGAGAGAGGGGGTTGGAGAGAGGGGGTTGGAGATAGGTGGTTGACGATGTTGTGTGATGCCTTCATATGCATTCACATCTGTGTGCCATGTATCCTATGTTTCTACTTTACATGCGTAGTGTGCGCATGTGTAAGCATTTGTGTTTGGTGTGGTTTCAGCTTTTTTAGTGTGTGTGAATTTTAATTTTGTTTGAACAGATATCTGAAAGGACTTCTCTGTTTAAGAGTTTTCCGACGAACCAAGAATCGTCTCAAATGGGGCAAGAGCGAGAAAGTTATGCCCGTCTAAAGTTGTGATTTTATTGCGGCGACTAAGAGAATTTATGGGGTGACTCTATGTGGGGTATAGACCGTTGAGGGTTAGGAAATTTCGTCACCCTACTGTAGTTGCTGCCAAGTGGTTGGAGGAAACAAACCAAGTTGACAAGTGTGGCCAATTTGGGTGAGGTAGATTGGATGGGTTGGGAAAATGACACGGGTCAACGTTGGTTTTTTTAGTGAGGGGGGTTTTGTGTGCTTACAGGGTTTTGTTTGGTTGGAGACTCCCTGGGGTCCATTCTTCTCGTCCTCCTATTCTATTCAACTATAGCATACCTCACAGTGTGCCAAAATTCATATATTTTGATACGATTTAAATCGGAAATTATAGCCACTGTCTAAGGCTACAACACATTTGATTTTAGTGAAGTTTTAATGGTTAGTTTTTCGTCGGGCGTTTCTTACGAAGACAACTTTTCTGTCCAGAAACCTAATCCACGATTTTGAGTTATTCCGGCCCCCTAAATATTCTAGGCTCCGTCCTTGATTCTAGCAGAAGAGAGGGAGATGGAGAGGGGGGTTGACGAGAGGGAGATGGAGAGAGGGCGTTGGAGAGAGGGGAAGAAGAGAGGGGGTTGGATCGAGGGGGTTGAACAAAGGGGGTTGACGAGAGATGTTGAAGGTTTGGCGTTTCAAGAGAAAGAGCATGGGGGTGTGATCAAGGGAATTAATCATGCACGCTTGAAAAGGAGGCCCCAAGAGGCGTTGGAGAGGAGTTAATGAAATGAGAAGGTGGATTTTGTTCGGCGTGGAGCAGGCGAAGGGAACAAGTGGGAGAGAGGAAGTCGAAGGGAAGGTGCAAGGGTGAAAGTTTGCAAGAAGGCAAGACAGTTGAGTGCAATGCTTGTTCATCGCATAGGTTGACGTGGGTTGTGAAGAGGCAACACCAACACTTATCGCATTGGTTGAGGTGGCTACGTTCCATCTGACAGAATTCTCAAAACACGTAGACCAACACTACCCTACCCACCCACCCATTGGTTGATGTGGATCAGCATGTGCTCCGAGTTGGCCATTATCTTGAGTTGAGCAGCTTTGTCTCAGGCATGTCGTTCCACCAGATGTACCTGTCGGAGGGGAGGAGGAAGGTGGGGGGATGGTTGGGTGAGAGAGGGGAGGAAGGATGAGAGAGATGGGGGGGCAGGGAAGATTGGTGCCGTCACACATCGTCGTCATTCTCATACTCACAGGTCACGTGCCATCACCCCACTCACGTGCCATCACCCCACTCACGTGCCATCACCCCACTCACGTGCCATCACCCCACTCACGTGCCATCACCCCACTCACGTGCCATCACCCCACTCACGTGCCATCACCCCACTCACGTGCCATCGCCCCACTCACGTGCCATCACCCCACTTACGTGCCATCACCCCACTCACGTGCCATCACCCCACTCACGTGCCATCACCCCACTCACGTGCCATCACCCCACTTACGTGCCATCACCCCACTCACGTGCCATCACCCCACTCACGTGCCATCACCCCACTCACGTGCCACACCCCACTCACGTGCCATCACCCCACTCACGTGCCATCATCCCACTCCCGTGCCATCACCCCACTCCACTGTCATCAACCCTAAACCCAAAAACTAACCCTATACCCGGATCCCTAGACTAGACCCCACTCACGTGTCATCCATTCCCATCACTTCGTCATTAGCTGCACTGACGAGCAGCTTGGGCATGGTGAGGCGCTCCCTGAAGTAGTATGGGTCTGTGTCCTCCTGCAGTCAGCCAGCCATGGGGTGATGTGAGGATGTTTGTGTCCTCGTGTAGTGAGAAAGGGCATGAGCGGAGTGGAGCAGGAAAAGAAGGTGGGTTGGTTGGCAGCAAGAGCCAGGTAGACATACGGGCATGAGTGGGAGATGTGATAAAGGGAGTGAACCAGCTTGGCAAAGCCAGACGAGCACACGTCCAAGTCCAACCATTCTCTCTTTCAAACACCCTGTCACCCTGAGCTCGCAACGAGCCTTTGGAACCCAGGCGACCGCAGCTTGAAGCTTGAGAATGACGGGCCACACGACAACCCACTCGTTCGATACACGGTTACACCATTCTTCATCCCACACTCGCTCGCTGCTCTCCATGTGCTTACAACAAGCCTTTGGAACCCGGGCGATTGCAGCTGGGAGGTGAGGTTGAAGTTGGCGTAGAACTTGAGGATGACCGGCCATGCGACTACTCTCACTCACTTGTCCCACCATTCTCCCTCCCACACTCGCTCTCAGTGTGTTTACAATGAGCCTTTGGAATTCCGGCTGCTGCAGCTGGGAGGTGGCGTTGAAGATGGCAGGAAAAGGATGACGGGTCACACGCCTACTCACACGCCCAACCATTCTTCCTCCCACGCTCGCTCTTGCTCTGCTGTGCTTACAACAATCCGCTGGAACTGGGGCGATTGCAGTTGGGAGGTGACGTTGAAGATGGCGTAGAACTTGAGAATGATGGGCCACGCGCCCAGAGAGTCGTGTAGGTGCTGCAGGTTGCGCCCAAAGTCAAGCAGGTCAAAGCCATACGCCACCATGCCCACCACCCTCTGCCGTGGGAAGAAAAACACAAGAATTGAAGAAGAAAAAGACGAAAAAAATAGAAAAAGTACACACTGAGAAACCCGCCATGTATGGATGGTTGCTGGACTGGCGAACTGCGACAGCGAGACCGAGGATGCAAAGTCCGGTTTCATTGGCTGTAAGATCAGTGAGTCGGTCTAGGTCGTGTGTGTGTGCTGGTTACTTCAATAACATCGTCGTCGTTGTCGTCGTCGGCGTTGCAGCGAATGGTGTCACACGAGCTGTTGGGAGCGGGTAACTCAGCGTCGGAAGATCGTCGTGCCTCGCTGGTGTAGTTGTGGGCTTCTCATGTTATATCGTCAGAGTCGTGTTGAGAGACAGGAATTAAGGTTGGAGTTCGCAGTGGGCTTGTAAGGGGGATGGTTGGATAATGCTCGTCAGGTTGGACACCGCTGCTGACAATTCCAATTCTCCCGCTTACAAACAATAAACAATTCTCCTGCTTGTGTCAAGGGAGTGCCAGCAATAGAACTTCAACTATGCATAGACAGAGTACAGTGCACCTCATACAGAATTGGATATTGCATTGGAACACGCAAAGGGTGCGATGGCATACATTTGTCAAAAGATAGACGAAAAAAAAAAAAAAAAAAAAAAAAAACACTGCACCCTATGGCATGCCTTACATACCATAGACGTGACGTGCCTAAGAGCAAAAGACACAAGGATAAGGGCGAATGCAGGGCAAGGCAATGTGTATACTCCATCTAAAATCAGGCGCCCCTCACCACGCATGCAATAGGTAGGTGGTGCCATGCAATGGTAGGTGGTGCCATGCAATGGTAGGTGGTGCCATGCAATGGTAGGTGGTGCCGTGCAATGGTAGGTGGTGCCATGCAATGGTAGGTGGTGCCATGCAATGGTAACAAATAGATATAGATGCAAGGACAAGCACAGCAAGCAACAAGAAACAATGCTACAGCGACCCAACACCAGTGTTAAAAGGCCTAACCGCAGACAGAAACTATGGTGGTCACTAGGCGCTAGGGCCTTGGTGAAGATATCTGCAGTGTTGGCCTCGGAGGCCACGAAGTCCAAGCGTGCCTGGACGCGTCACTGAAACTCTCGCAAGAGAAAGTACCTCACATCAATGTGCTTCACTCTACTCTCCAGTCGAGGCTCTCGACACTGGAGGATCATGGCCTTGTTGTCAGCAAACAAGGTCGGTGCAGAGCGAGGCCGCTCACCAAGGTCGGCGAGCAAGAAGGTCAACCAGCGTAGCTCCTGCGCAGCCATGGCACCAGCGTATATCTCTGCCTCTGCACTGGACGAAGCCACAGATGACGATCGAGTAGACCACCACGACACAGCTCCAGCACCCAAGCTGAATCTGTACCCCTGAGTGGACCTTTGTGTCTCCACGTTGTCGGCGTAGGAAGAGTCGCAGTGACCGGTCAAAACAACTGGCTGTCTCCCTCGAAGCACAAGCCCCATGTTTGATGTAGTCGCCAGGTACTTTGCCACCCTCACAGCAGCTGTCCAGTGAACAGGACGGTGTCTCCCTGTCGCAGCAAAGCGAGAGAGGACGCTGAGAGGAAAGGCAAGGTCCGGACGAGTACAAGTCATCAGGTAAATGAGGCAGCCCACAAGTTCTGCGTAGGGACCACTAGACTCAAGGCCTCTTTGAGAAAAGGGTCGGTGAGTCCGTGGTCAACTGCAAGAGGAGTGGGCTGTGTGGTGGACTGTTGAAGCCCGAACCGCTGAAGGACCTGCTGCACCATGTGTGACTGTGAGAGTGTAATGGTGCGAGCGGCTCTGTCCCTGGTGATCTGCAAGCCAAGGTAGCAGCGCAGCTCACCCAGGTCAGTTCACGTGTGTCTCTTCTGGAGTTCGGGCTTCACCTCAGCCAGAGCGGCCATGTCTGCTGTAGCAAAGACGAAGTCGTTGACGTAGACGAGGACGAAGAAAGGTGTGGGCCCAGAACGAATGAACAGCGACGGGTCGGCGAACGAAGGACGAAACCCGAGGGCAGCAAGACTGGTGCGCAGCGTGTCGTGCCACTCACGGGGCGACTGGCGAAAACCTTAGACTGGTCGTCTCAGGCTCCATTGGGTCCCAGGCGAGAAAGTGCCAGTGAAGCCAGGAGGACAACGCAGCCAGATCTCCTCGTGCAGGCTGCCCTGGAGAAAGGCAGCGGAGAAGTCGAGGTAGTGCAACTCGTAGTCTCGCTGTGCTGCAACGTGAAGTAACACCCGAAGAGTCGTCATCTTTGGGGTCGGGGCAAAGGTCTGGAAGAAGTAAACTCCCTCACGCTGACTGAAGCCCCTAGCCACGTAGCGCGACTTGAAGACAGGGGGCGATCTAGGCGGCCGCTTCACCTTGAAGATCCACATGCCGTCGACTACGTTCGCCCCAGGAGGGGGGACTGCGTCGACGTAGGTGCCTGTGGATCTCCAAGACGCTATCTCCGAGTCCATGGCCGCTTTCCACTAAGAGGCCCACTGCCCTGACACTGCCTCACAGTACGTGCGAGGAGTCGGAATGTCAAGGGCGTCGGGGTCTCCCTCAGAGAAAAGCAGCATGGCACAGAGAGAGGGAGAAGCGGCTGCCAAGAACTCTAGCTCAAAATGCCTGTCCTCTAGGACGTCACAGTCAAGGGAAAACTCACCCCCGACAGACAGAGGACGGGCAGGCGGAGCAGCCACTACACGCGTGGCGAAGTCAAGGCCGTGGGTGCCAGCATAGTCAGCAACAGCAGCAGTAAGAGCCGAGACAGACAATGGAGAGGCTCGAGGGTCGGTGACAAGTTAGGCGAGAACACGCGAGACAACAAGACGAGCAGCACGGTACTAGTTAGTGATAGGGTGAGAGGAGACAGTGAGGACTAGAACGAAATAAGACAGTGCGGAGGTCGTCAAAAGGAGACGAGTGGTCCAGTTGTGCTGGAGAACAACGAGGAGGTGACTGTGACTGAGGAGGAGAGAAAATAGCTGGAGCCGAGTCCGGAGGAGGAAACGTAGGACCGTGCGCGGTAGGAGACTGAGAGCGGACAGGAGGAGAGGAGGGAAGACCAAGGGCCCGAAGGCCACTCACTCGTGGGAACAATTGCTGCAAACGGGGCGGCTGCTGCTGCAGCAGCTATTACCGCAACTGTTTTTGCTGCACCTGCTGCTGCTCCTGCTGGTCTAGCTACCGTAGCTCCTTCCTCTCCTGCTCCAACCGCTCCTGCTCGTCGCGCTCAAGCCGGCGAAGAGCCTAGAGACGCGTTTCGTAGTGGTGGGGAGGCACCGTGGGCGCCACAGTAGTAGTGTCTCCAGCTCCAGTCGCCTCAGAACCAGCACCCCCAGTGCCAAAAGCTCCAGCTCCAGTACCTCCAGCTCCAACACCCCCTTCACTAGCACCACCAGTGCCTGCACCTCTAGCTCTAGCACCACCAGATTTAGCACCTCCACTGCCAGCACCTCTAGCTCCAGCACCTCTCGAACGAGCACCCCCAGAACGAGCACCTCCAGTGGCAGCACCTCCAGCTCCAACACCCCCTGAGTCCACAGTAACCTGTCGCGGAAGTGCGGAAGACTGCTGAGGGGACGGTGAGGAGGACTGCAGGGAGGGAGACGCTACCTGACGCGCGTCCGAGGGTAGAGGGGTAGCATGAGACACACTTGACGGGGCTGGACCAGGGGGGGGCGGGGGTACCAGAGGAGCAGGAGCAGGAGGAGGAGAGGGGGCGAGGAAGAGTGGGGGAGGGGGAACCGGGAGACCTTGACAGGGGTAGCAGGCGTACTAGAACACTGACTCACCAAACCGGACGTCACGGGAGTTGAGGAAACAGTGGAGGTGCCTTGCTGCACACCCCGTGCCACAGGGCAGCACGGGAGAGGCCTTGCAGGAGCGTCCACCGGGAAGCCAAGGAAGACACAGAGGATGGCGTGAGCCAAGAGCTTGTCCGCAGAGGTGTAGCGGACAAGCGCAAGGCAGCCCCAGACGTGAAACTCCGACGCAACACCAGGGCACTCCGTCGAAAGACTGGTCGGCGAATCCCCTGGTCTTGAAACACGAGGCCAGTGGTTCAGCTGGTGGGCGGCGTAGCGTGTCAACATATATTTTATATGTGTTGTTTAGGTTAGTCTAGGTGTTACGTTTCTACTTACTTGCATGATTAGGGTTTGCTATATCTAGGGTTGTACTTCACATTTTCTATCAATTCATTCTTATCGTAACATGGTATCAGAGCGAAGGTCTCGGGTTCGAATCCCGGTGTATGCACTTCGGGCATCCCAGTGCGGGGGGGTGTCAGAGGTCCACTGGTGATCCCCGATTGATCCTAGAGAAGGGTTACAGGCACGTTGGCCTGGGGGGTTATGGGCGCACTGACCCGCTACTTAACAAGCCCTTTTATCCCAATGGTAGAGCAGGAGTCGCACCCGCAGCTTCGCGCTAGTACGTCGCGGCCGCGCGCACGTGCAGCCCACCGTCCTAACCGCCCCCCAGACCTGAAAACCCGCCATTACAGACCTGAAAACCGCCGCCGAACTTGGAAACCCGCCGCCCCAGACCTGAAAACCGCCGCCCCAGACCTGACAACCGCCGCCCCACCTGGAAACCTGCTGCCCCACCCGTTCCAGGCACCTCACCCGGGATCAGCCGCCCCACCCAGTCCTCTCCACCGCATTGAACCGCACAGAACTGCACATAACTGCACAGAACCGCACAGAACCGCCGCCTTAACAGCTTCCCCACCTGAAAACCACCGCCCCAGACCTGACAACCGCCGCCCCACCTGGAAACCTGCTGCCCCACCCGTTCCAGGCACCTCACCCGGAATCAGCTGCCCCACCCAGTCCTCTCCACCGCATTGAACCTCACAGAACCGCACAGTACTGCACATAACCGCACAGAACTGCACAGAACCGCCGCCTCACACGTAGCCCGCTGCCTTAACAGCTTCCCCACCTGAAACCTGCCTCCCCACGACCTACCACACCCGCCGTCAGTAGCCCCAGCCGATTACACTGCCGCCAGCTACACCAGCAGCAGCATAGGCTGCCCCCAGCGCACCAGCAGCAACGTAGGCTGCCCCCAGCGGAACCAGCAGAACCAGCAGAACCAGCAGAACCAGCAGAACCAGCAGAACCAGCAGAACCAGCAACAGCGTAGGCTGCCCCCAGCAGAA